ATTAATGCTCAGGTCCACAAATGAATTGATTGTTTTTTGGAAAATCTTAGTAGCTCAGTTGATTGACATATTTCAATTTTATTTTATTGGCGATAATTCTATTTTTTGCCTCGTAATTTGCCCCCCCCCCCCCCCCCTCCACAATTTTCCCTTTGCTACCCAAAAATTTAATATATATATATAATGATTGCTTGTCGTTTTAAATTTTCTTGGTAACACAAACCACACAATTAGTCATATGAAAGGGACGCATATATATATAATGAAGTCCCTTATCAAAATGGCAAGATGCACTTTACACGTAAATTTGTTAGGGATAGACAAATATGATGTTGATTCTTCAAGAAAAAAAAGATTATTGATGACCCTAGAGCAAGTTCCTCTATATATAAATAATATTGTCATCATTTTCGTCTTCCACGTCAATTTTTTTTGAAGTACTTATGAATTGTTCTAATTGAACACCTGAACATATAATAAAATATTTTTGTTAGATATTTAATTTCCGTTCAATATTTTGAAAGAATTTTTGTGCGTGTTCTCAAATATCTATAATAGGCTAGTAGACGAGTTAACTACATAAATTATATTATCTACACATCAACTTCAATTGGAACAAGATGAGGTTGTATAGTTATTGAGGCTAATACATATAATTAAACAAGGTGACATATTTTAAATAGTTAAGTTATCTATATAATGGTCATTTAAGAATACACATAAAAGTTTTTTCAAAATTTGAATTGAAAGTGTTTCAATAGGAATGTTTTATTGTGTGTTCATGTGCTCAATAGAAACAAATCGTAATTCTATTATCTAAATTAAATTTAATGATAAAATTAAAAAGCTAACTATGTACTAAAAATGAAAAATGAGTTTACTAAGATTCCGCGATCCAAAAGAATATATCCAAGAGCTTCTCGTCGCAACCAATGATTCCTGATTAATGTACATTTGATTCGTTGAGCGAATGCCTTTTCATACGAAATTCAAAATCACTATAATGGATTTTCGTTTTTGTTCGACCTATCAATCTAACAAGTGTCATTTATTATATTTAGTTTAACCAATACTAGTATATTATTTTTTTCATGTTATTTTATGTCTAAATAGTTACTAATCTCTTCGTCCCATTTTATGTGGCACTTTTTGAATTTCGAGATTCAAACAAGCCTGTCTTTGACCTTAAGTTTTTCATAAATCTTTTAAACATTTTAAATTATCAATTATTGTGACTTATATTACTTTTTATGTAGTTTACATATATATATAAATTTTATTTTTAAAAAATTAAAGATTTTGTGAGCAAAATTTCAATCAAACTTAAATTATTTGACTCTTGAAAAATGAAAAGTGTCACATAAATTAAAATAAGGGAGTAGTATAAGTAAACTTTATAGTGAAGTGGTGTGACACCAATTGGGTGAAGGTTTGTCAGCCACCAAATACAACAAACCACAGAAAACTATTGTTCAAAAAAGGTAGTTTACGTGTATACCCGAACCCCACATGCAATATATAATACTCCTTCCTTTTTTTAAAAAAATTAGGGATAATTTCAGATATCTCTCTCGAGGTTTAGCTCTATAACACTCTCCTCCCCTATAGTTTACGTTATAATATTTTAATTTCAATTTTTTTATGCTATATATTTAAAGTCATAAAATTAAAAAATATTTATTTAACATAACTTTAATGTATGATCATAAAATTAAAAAATCTTCTTTATCATCTTAAATTTTATGTCAAGTAGTTGTTCTTTTTTAAACTAATGACAAGTGTAAGCAATAAAGCAAATGAATCACTTGACTATCATAACACCCTAATCATAATCATATAAACATGCAAAATCGAAATGTTAGCCTGAAAAATGATTGTTTTTAATAATTATATACACACAAGGAGAGACAATTAGAGTAATTTAACTAGCATGTTTGGTACTAATTAATGTTTATCATAAGAACTTTATTTATAATTAATTTATAGCTGATATAAATAACACTTTTTGTGATACTCAGTAGTCATTAATAGCCGCAAGCCTGGGGACCAAATAATTAAAGTACATTTCGGTTTATCACGTGTTGGAAAAAAATCATATGTCATTAATTAGTTACAATTATACACATGAATTCATAATTTGAAGTTCAAATTATGAATTTGAATTTAGAATTTAGAATATAGAATTTTATACTAATAATTTACAAAGTGGATAAAATTGTTAAGTTTATGGTGTAGAATTAAAAAAGGCAATTAAAGGACTAGAAATATATAATCAAGTTTATAGTGTAGAAATATCTAATATTATTATTATTATCATCATCATCATCATCATCATTATTATTATTATTATTTCGTAGTCATTGTTTTCATCATCATCATCATCATTATTATTTCGTAGTCATTGTTTGAATCATCATCATCATCATCATCATCATTTCATAGTCATTGTTTGAATTAGTCTATTAACAATAACACGTCTGACATATTTTCTAAAAAAGTTATTTTCTTATAAAAAATACTCTCCACACTGTTTAGCTTAATTTTCAGTTATGTATGTCTTTAAATATCATGAATAGTGTCACGATCCAGACCGTCATAATTGACACCCACACTAACCTTCCAGTTGGAGAATCATTACTACAACCCAACTAACAACTTAACTAAAGACCAAGGCATTTAAAGATACAAAAGCAGGTTTAAATGACAATAAAAATAGAGTCCTCATAAACTCCAAAGGTTTAAACAATTAACTAACCAAACTAATGTGGAAATTCAACCCCTAGAACTGAAAGTCATTGTACCAAAACTCTACGAACGACAAGTCTAAGAATAAGGGGTACAACTCCGAAACTAAACAAACCCCTTAAGAAGCAAATAGTCTGAGTCTGAAAAGAGTGGACTTAAACAAGAAAGATCCATGGCAGCCTGAAAGAACTGGTTCACCCTTGAATCCGGTCACGCTCAATAGTCACCTAGTTGAGGTCTATCAATAGCTGCCTGAAGATGTCCTGTACTCAACAAAGAACAAGTAAGTGTAGTATCAGTACACAACAATAGTGAACATGCTTATACCGAACATATACAATATTAGTCATCACTTACGAACAACACACAAATTCACAATTCTTAAGATATACAGTTATGTCAAGCCAATGGTGGAAAATCGTTAAGAAAACACCTGGGGTCATTCTTTAGCTCTCAAAGTCGAAAAGTGCAGAATAAAGCGATTTGGGGTTTATTTCTGACTTAAATCGCGACTATCCCGCCACAGCAGTCCTCACCCCGCTGCAGCGGCCCCGCCCTGGTGGAAGTAATCCCGCCACAGCGGCTTGCACGGAAACAATGAGCAAAATTAAGAATTTCAAACCGCCATTTCACAACACACCTTCATCCCAAGACACTCGAAAAATATCCGTTCACGCTAAGATCAGTTTCGGGAGTTCTACTCACCTCCCTAGACCGTACTGACTCAGATTTCGTTCAAATCTGGACTAGGCTAGAAAATCCCAAGTTACTACAAAAAGTTTTTCCGGATCAATTCTTTCCCCATTGGCTTTTCCCTAACGATGGAATCAGGTCGTTACAAATAGGTAGAGTGTGTATTAGTTATGCATATATAAGTTGAAAATACTATCAAACAAGAAATTAAATAATACAAAATTTCATAAGAATATTAATGTTCTAAATAAAATAATAAATAGATGAAACAAACATGAAATTTGAATTATACTTCTGGTCTATGGGTTGTTTAGAATTCGTGTGAATACCTATATATGCCTATGCTTGACGTCTTCTTATAAGGTTGTTTAGTACATTGTTTTGGCTTAAGGTTTGTGAAGCTTCTTATATTGGAAGTTGGAACATAAAGCTCGTCTGTCTAAATATTTTCTGATTGCTACATGCTATTACAGAAAACATATAATATAACTTAATTAGAACTTAACTGTTATAATAAAATAAATATTGCTATACGAAAAATGACTGTTATACAAAGATATGACAAAAGAAGATAAATTTAGGCAATTTCACTTATTTCATTAACAAATATGAACGTTTTCTAAAATAAGACTCCACATGCCTTAATTTATGTGGCACAACTACTATTTTAAGTGTCATTTCTTTTATCGAAATTTCTTTGTTTTTCTATGTATCTCAAAATTCGAATAAATGATACATAAATTGAGATGAAGGAAATACTGATCAACTACCTGGGTGGGGGTGGGGGTGGGGGGTCCTGTTGTATGCCACGATGCATTAGCATTTAGGCAGAAAACTTGCTTGGCTAGAAATAAAGCCTCTTACAATTGAAATACAACTTCAAAAGTACAATGTCTTTTTATTCCCACTCGTCACTACAAACCATATATTATAAAATTGTACAAATTTCTGTCTCTTTCTCATCCTCTACTACTTTGCCATTATATTTTCCACTTTTTGTTAGTTGTTGTTTCTTCTTATTCCATTCACTCTTACTGTACAATGAAGGTATGATATCCTTCATTCATCTTGTTTCATTTCTTTTCTTCTTTTGTACATCCATATACTTGGTTTGATCGAGTCAGTATTTTTAGTTTATGAATTTTAAATCGTTAGTTTTTGTTTACGGGGTTCTATTTATATAAATCAAATAAATTCTTTTTCTTATTATAAATATAAAATTTGAATTAAAGTTACTGAATTCACTGAATTGGTAACTTACGTGTGGCTTTGGACTGCACATGTGTTTTACTTTTTCTACTTTCGGTATAGAAACCAAAATTACTAAGTTTACTGAATCAGTGCCTTAACATTTCTTTCCTAGATTCTTATTGGATCACTACTAAAAGCGTAGACTCAGTTATGAAATTTATCGATAATCTCTATCTAGCTAATTTATCATTAAAATGTTCTCAACTAATTGAATTTTCATATTATTAGTTGTTAATCTAGTTAAATAGAATTAACATGAAATTTTAGCTATTTAGTAAAATTTTGTTGGTTCCTTATTTTAAGCTTTCTTTCTTTAACTTTGATTTGTGTAGAAATTTATCATGAAATTGGATTTGGGAGATGACAGAGAAAAAAGGAAGGCCTTGAAGATAGTGGCTGCTCTTCCAGGTAATTAATACTTCCACGGTTTCAATTTGTTTGATTTGATTCGAAATACAAATATCAAATTAACTAAAGTATGGTGTAAATTTAAATATTAAATTTTTAATATTTTTGCAATAAAAATTACTCATTTAGAAATTATTTTTTTACTATTTAAATAGTAATTATGATAAATAACTCTAAACAGAAAAAATAATTAATTTTCTATTACAAGTTAAAATTTACAATATCCTAGTACTACATATAGCTTATTATTAGTGTCCAACTGTTAACGGGTTAGGAGAATCAAGTGGTGAATATTATTTGTAAACTTGATGTGGAAATATTAATTTAATATGGCAACTAGGTTGAATTCATTGATATGTTTTTGGCTTTTTGGAGAAAAGAAGAAAAAAAAAATTTCGTTTCTTTCAGTTTGATTGTCATACTTTTTTTTAAGCATGTTTCAAAAGGGTTTTTTTTTAACAATTTGTTAATTTCAACTTTTCATATAACATATTTAATATCACAAAATTTAGCAGCATTTTAGTACACTTCATATGTTTTTAATGGAAAAATTATTTTAGCCAGAAAATTTGGCCAAAATGGTAAAATAACATATTTCACACTATGTAATTTTATCTTTTTGAACATTTTTGTCCTTTTAACTTTAATTAAAAAATGGAAAAACGATCAGTTTATTTTAAAATAAAAAGGATATTATAGGTTTTTAAAATTTCTGACCAAATACTAGCCAAATCTTCTGGCTATTTAGCATTACCCGTTTTTAATTTGAGACTAAATTCAAACCCTCTTTACTTTATTAAATTTTGTGTTGAGTCAAAATATATCAAACAAATTGAAACGGATAGAATAGGAAAATAATTTGTAGACGTCGATTCTTGAATGATGCCACGTCAAATGGGTCCTCCATAATTACAACTTACCAAGTTGTCCTTCTCTAAACGTCAGCAACTCATTTTGCCCTAATATAAAGCTCCTCGTATCATATTACTTGACCTTTATTAATTTGACATATTTTTAAAGAAAAATTTAATTAAAAGTATATTTTATTAAATTAATTTTATTAATGGTGTTATATAATTTCTTAGTATTGTCAATTCTTCTTTGGTGAAGGGCCTCATCGAAATATAGTAACTAATTTGGAACAAAAGAAATGAAAATGTTGTTGCAAATAATGTAGCTCTTTATAAATTTATATGTAAAAATTCACCAAGAATTTAAGTAACAAATACTTCTATTATATGACAAGGTCATTTTAGAAACTTTAAAGATCTAACCTAGTTAAATAATTTACATTTTGAATTCGTCTCTGTATAATGAAATTGACACTTTTGAAATTTTGTAGGGATTGATGAAATTACGATAGATATGAAAGGTAAGACGTTAACGATAATAGGGACGGTTGATCCGGTGAGCGTAGTGAGCAAATTGCGCAAGTTTTGGGCAGTAGAAATGATGTTAGTAGGACCAAAAGAGGAACCAAAGAAAGAAGAGCCTAAAAAAGAAGGAGAAAAAGAAGACAAGAAAGAAGAAACAAAAAAGGAAGAAGAAGAGAAGAAGCCAATGGTACCAATAGGTATGGTAATGCCATATAGAGATTATTATCATCCTCCTCCTATGCACACATATTACCAAGTCCATCATCATAGCATTGAAGAGAATCCTAATGCATGTGTCATTTGCTAAAAAGAAAAATTATGAATCGAAGCGATAAAGAGCTGAATATCACTTTGTCATCACTTGGAATATTTTAATGTGCTACTATGTTATGTATGTATATATAGTGTACAAACATCTTGTTGGCCATGGTTTATCCTATTTTATAATATATGAATCCAAGACTAACTTTCAAGAATATAAATGTAGAAGAGATTTTGTGAATAGACAATATTATCCTTTAAGTTTTTGTACCTTCAAAGTCAAGTATATTACATATTGTACATGTATAGAGAGTATTCAATAAGAATTTTTTTTGTGTTACTTATGTGATTGTAATACTTGAAGTTTGAATCAATTCTTGTGTTTTCCAACTCACATGATTGTGTTGATATTACTTGGGTTGGATGAGATGAAGTGAAAAAGTACCAACCATCATAGTGATGAGATGAATATAAATTTATATATCTTTAATTAGAGGTGTTAAATTTAAGTCTTTGATACAAAAAATATTCATAATAAAAAATGTTTCTCATTTTAATGAATCTTACTCGATGTGTATGTGAATTCAAATTATTGAAGTCTAGAGATATCAAATATCGAATGAAAAAAAACAAAATACAACGAAAAAGTTAAGAATAATTTGCTAGCAAATATTGCATAAATATGAAAATGAATTGCCAACGAATTCTTCCAACCATCCAAATTCGTTAGTATATTAGTAACAAATTACTATAACATATTTCAGAATTTAGCAATGGATTCCTAATGAAATGCCAACTAAAATTTTACTAACTAAATAATGTAGTTGGTAAATATGTTAGGAAAAAATAGAATACAAAATAGTAAGATCAATATAAGAATAAAGTCAAGAGGTTGTTGTTTGCATGTATGGCAAAAATCTTAATAAAAAATGTTGACTACTTATACCGCTTAATTTATCAACTTTCTATTAATGAATTACCGATAAAAATATTACTAATAAACAGCTTTCATTGGTAATATTACCAATGGAGTGTATATTGATTGATAAATATGATTAAAAAAAATGTTGAGTATAATTTATTAACAAATTACCAACGAATCTAACTAAGAATTAACCAACAAAAGAATTTTGTAGATAATTTTACCAACAAGTCAAAAATGATTTGAGGAATCAACATAAAATTTTGGGTAATATTTTTTCACCACATAAACAATTCCTATATATTTTATAGTATATATATTATAGCTAGTTGAGTGAACCAAATAATACCTTGATGTGTTTTTGATGTAACATGTCACTTTGGGTGGTCTACCATTGAAACCTAACCTAGAATAATCTTCCTTTAACTTATTTGTTTGTATGTTTCTGAAATAACATATTAATGGAAATAGAGGATCAAAAAATAGAAATCTATATATGCAAATTGAATTATTAATTTTTTTGTTTTATTATGTTAGTCTTTGATTTTTCCTTTTGATGTAAAACATTTGTGTAATATTTTTGTAATATACATTTGAATTATTTTTTTCAGAAAGTACTTCAATTTGATTTGTGAGAATTCAAAGTTTTGTTTGGAAAACTAAACAATTTTGGGCAAAAAGTACATTTTCTTAGATTTTTGATTTTGAGTTTTTTGCCCAAAAAAATAAATAATCCAAAACTTGACAAATTTTATGGGCAAACAAATTGTCAAAAGATTTTTCAAAAAAGTACTTGCAATATCTATGGCCAAATAGGTCCTAGACACTCCTTAAATTGAGATAGGAAAAGTATAATATTTTAGTGACAAAATCAATTTTTTTGGTAAGCTAATTCAAAATACAAAAGAAAATGAAATTCATGTATATTTTTCTACTTTCTGCATCACTCAACATCAACACAAAAAATTGGACGGCATTTGGCGACAAAGGAAATTGTGCAAAAGAGTATAACCATCTCTTATCTTTTGGAGGAAATTAGTTTGTAGTTTGTGACACAATTTTGATTGAAATGCTAATTGTGATTTAAATGATTAAAGAAATTTGATGCTTGGATAATGTGACCAAAAAACTTTGTAACTACCATTGTTTGACAAAATCTTTTGGAGTCATGATTAGGGTAGGGGAAGAGGGAAGATGAGGGAATTACACTACTTACAAAGTTAATTTATAATTTTACAAAGAATAATAGTAAAAAATATAATTTAAATTATGTCCATAAATATTTTCTTACAAGTGTTCATTGTCCCACAAATTGAGTTAATCTCGAATAGAGGGATTATTGCCATTAGTATCTCTTTTTTAAAGTCCAATTGGGTAGATGAGGTCATCTTAGTGCTGCATGTCGTCATTGTGGATTATTATTATTTAGAGATTGTTCTTCATTTACATAATTGGTCAAAATTATACTCCACGGTCCACATCAAAGACTATGTATAGTTTTTTTTTTTTTTTTTGTGTGGGGAGTTAGGATAAAACACGAAAAATATTTAGGATTTTTAAATTTTTTTTTATGATAAGAGAAATTCGCAGTTGCTATTCTTTGAGTGTGCACAAGATAAAATTTCCGCTCTTATGCAATAGTTTGCAAACCACATAGGAGAGGTAACCCGCACAAACAAAACCCTGTGTGATGAGCTCAACCCAGAAGGCAAACCATTTATTTACACTGGCAAAGAGTTTCAAACTTGAGTTTAAAAGTCTCAAACTCAAACCACTGAACCCAAAAATATATAGTATGCTAAAAAAATAGAATAACTTAACGTGGAGTCGATATCTTTATATTCCTTTTCTTTGTTGATCAATCTTATCAAACTATTGCTATTCTACCAGAAAATACTTGAAAATTTACTAAATAATGATTGTAAAAGATTTGAAGAAAGTTAAACATGCATGTACAAGCCGTTTTATCGATTCTTTTATACCTAATTCTGTAACATGTACAAGTTTGAATTTCCAATTTTTTTTCTGAGCATACTCTTTTTTTTTCCTGGAATAGTATTTTATATGCTTAGAATAGAACATTCATAAGTTTCTACAACTACCTGTATTTGATGACCTGTTGTTTCAAAATTTTGACTAAACCATGGCATGGCTAATTATCAGTTAGACAAAATATACATATACATCCAATTACAAATGAGGTGAAATAAATTATCACCCCCAGTACACGAAGAAAGATTTGGAATATATTCAATAGCTCGATATCTTGCTTCGATAACATCCCTTTTGAGCTGATGGTCTTGCGGAAACAACCTCTACACCCCACAAAGGTAGAAAGTAAGATCTGTGTACATCATATCCTCCTCAAACCCTACTTGTGGAATCACATTGCATATGTTGTTGATATAAAATATATAAAGCAATTTCATAACCTTAATGCATCACTTCCAGAATGCAAAAATTGGTCTATTAAACCCAGGTTTGCGACCAGACGCACTGGATGTTATGTCCTCTACCATTCTAAATCCAATCTGCATTCAGATTAAAAATTAACGCATCATAAAATATTTATCTTCCAAGTTTCATAAGCTAAAGATTCTCTGCTACGTACCTTGTCCAAAAGTATATCTTGAAAATCTTCTGGATGAATCTTAATTTCTTGATAATTAATTCTTGTTGTCTGCATAAGGAGGAAACCATTAATATGCTCCAAATGAAAATTGTGTCCACACGCTCGAGCTTTAAGGAAATGAACCCAAAATAAGGTATTGGCTGTACAAATTATAAGTTAAAAAAAGCGTATCTGAATCTAGCAACAATACGAAAGGGAATACCTCAGATACAAGACGATTACTGTAGTAGGAACTCCAAGGCTGAGGCTCCAAAATAAAGATACCACCCTGTTACAAAAAAATACAGTCAAAAAGTGTTATTCAGCAAATTATTTCCAGAACCAAAAAGATGCTTCTCATATAATACGTAACATATTTACCGGTGAAAGAAGCCTCCAGACTTTTGAAAATAAAGTTATAAGTCCCTCATCACCCCAGTTTAATTGCACCCATTTTGACACGCTTAAACTGCATCAACAGAAATTCAATTGATCATGCACACATACATATAGAATTAAAACAAAATCTTCTAGCACCTAATACTACAGAAATTCACAATAGTAAAGGCAAACATACTTTATATTAATATTACATTGCTTAAGATTATATGACTTGTGCGATACAGAAAAGCAGAAAACCAGGTCTAATCTTCTCTGTAAGTAACCTCTGGAGTTAATTCATGCGCTCAATTTTCGGGAAAGCCAAAGATTGAGGCCCTGCACCTTTCTTGTATTATCATTTCTACTCAGATGACTTGCCTAAACCACTAAAAGGAGAGGGTGAACTTTTAGTTTATTTTGGGTGATTCTGGCAAGGAATCACAATTTCTAACCATATCATATCTTCGCTACCATTTCATAAAAGGATACCAATGAACAAGAAGGATTTCTTCATATATCTGGAACCATACAAATAAGATGATGCTTAAGGAAAAGAGAACTTACCAAATAATCGTATCATAAGATGTATTTTCCCCTGGATGCCAATTCTGAACAAAATTTCCCTTCCTGAAAGAGACTATGTCAGACAAATTTGCCTCTTGCACATGATGAGATTCTGTACAATCAATGCCTGCAGGCTTCTTAGGTGACTCCGCTTCATGGTTTTCAATACCAGTAACATTCTTTGACTCAGTCGACTTGGCCACCCTTGCCGGCACAGCTCCAGTACTCCTCACTGCTTTCCTGAGAGTCCAATAGGCATCCTGGATTCTTGCTAAAAGGTGAGCAGAGATAATCAAAGTTATAAACTACATTCTAGCAACTCTTGGTCAAATGATAGATTCATCATCATGTATTACTTAAGATGACTATTTGGATAACAAAATATGAAATTATCGGCAACTATGACAATAAGTAGCAAAAAGAGATCCAGAGACCAAGTTTATGCAAAACAGTATGACATAATCCAACCACACATTGTTATCCTGGAAAAAACAATTGTTTGATCCAGCCAATTTTATAGAAAAAAATCAACAAAATGCAAAGTGTTCAAAACCCAATAACAGTTTCTTTTTTTTTATTATTAGTTTCTA